GAAGAGTTTGGTGTAAGTCTGGGAACAATGGGGTGGGACAGAGGAGGAGGGGAAAGCAGTGATTGGTTTTTTACGAAGTTTGTGGCGACAGAGAAGTCATCTTCAAATTCGGAAAAGAGGAAAGTGGTCCGAGGAGTTCGGTTCAGAACCAGAAGAGCAAGACTCAACAATCACTGAGTTCGGCTTAGGCGAACCTGGCTCCAAAGAGTCAGGTACATTGCTTGGTCCCGCTTCAGGGAAAGAGGAGGGGCCAGAGATTTGGGTCGGGTAAGGAACCGACCCTAATAAGGAGGGGTTGGGTGGAGTCATGCCAAAAGGAGGTGCCAAGTTCAAGGGAGTCGGGTCAGGAACAAAAGAGGAGGGATTGGGTGGGCTAACGGGTGCGGAGGTCGGAAGAGCAGAAGAAGGGGGAAAAATATGGGGAGATGGTTCAATGTGAGAGTTTTTTTCCTTGTTAATTTTGGCAGGGCGAAGGGTTGGATTTTTTATGTAACAAGTTGAGTCATCATGTCCCACATGAGAGCAATAGAAACAATATTTTGGTAAGCGTTCGAACTCGATAGTGAGTTCGACGCGTTTGTTTCCGCAAGAGATGGCTATACTAGTTGGGTGGGGGGATTCAAGATTGAGGGCTACGCAAAAGCGAGCATATTGGAGCCGAGTTTTGTTTAGTGTAGCATCATCGACTTTTAAAAGGGTGCCAAAGATGTTGGCGATTGTTCGAAAAGCCTTTATAACAAAACAATAAAGGGGGAAAGCTGGGATTTTGATCCAGACCGGGACAATAGGTGGTTCTTTTTTGAAATCGAATCAGCGGACCATTTGAAAATCCGCATAGGAAAATTTAGAATAGAGATTTTGCATTTCAACCAAAGCTTGGTGGACGTGTTTGGGTGCGATTTTGATCAAGACGTGATTGGCTTGAAGGGAAAAAAATTTATATCCGGTGAAACCAAGAGAGCGAGGTTCGACCGGATAGCCTCGTTGGAGGGCTTGACGAAAGAGAATTTGCCTATGAGGGAGGTCCTCAGACATTTTAGAGACTTTCGAAGGGGAAAAAGGAACTTTTGGAATGCTGCCGAATAGAGAAAGAGAGCCAAAGGAGAGGGGTTCGGGTGGAACTGTTTTTTGGGCTGCCGAGAAGTAGGATTTTGCCGGTCCAAGCCCGTTGATTTGGTTTTGGGTTGCTGGTCCAAGGACTGAACGGGAATTTTGGCCGGGTTCGGGCCGACATGGGGGGGCTAGGCTGGGTATAAACCGGGTTGGGTTGGATTTGGGTCGGGCTAGAGGGTTTGGGATGGGATCGGGCTAGACATGGTGGAGGCTGAGGTAAGAGGGGTTGAAGAGTGAGTGGGCTGGGGAGTGAGGGTTTTTAATCTAGTGGGCTGGAGTAAAGAGTGGGAGGGTTGGCTTTTGGTTTGAGCTGGTTGGGAAGGGCGTCGGGTGAAAAGGGCCCAATAGAATTGGAAAGCTTTTGTCCCGTAGAAAAAGCTAGCAATCCACATGGAAAGCTTTATCCACAAATGCTTCCACGTTGAAAGTATTATCCATGAAAAATTTATTGTGCATGACAGATCAAAAGAAGATATATATGTCAGATTAAGAGCTTGTGTCCCGACTCCACACCAGCATATGTGCATCAGTGCATGAGACTGATTGGCGACCATAGCATTGCGGTAAAGGCTATAGTGAAGCAATATGTCAATTGTCATCACCAGCATTAAGAGCTTGTGTCCTGACTCCACACCAATATGTCATCAATATGTCAATTGTCAGATTAAGAGCTTGTGTCCCGACTCCACACCAACATATGTGCATCAGTGCATGAGACTGATTGGCGACCATAACATTAAGATAAAGGCTATAGTGAAGCAATATGTCATTTGTCAAATATATATGCGATGTGGAAAATTCCTACTTTTCAGTCTCACAATTTTTTTTCCTGTTTGATACTTACTCTTTTTATAAAAGTATCAAAGATATCTAAAGTATATTTTTTTTGTTTGTGCTATGTAATAACTGTTGTAATGAGTGTTAAATTAATATTCTTCCTAATATTCCTATTCTTCTTCCTAATATGCTAACCACTATATGCCATCAACTACAAGTTTTTAATGGTTAGTCAACCATTTTCCAACCACACCCTAATCAATTTCTAACCACTTGATACCATCTTGATCTCATTTGTGTATATATATCACATTTGTTGTAAAAAGAAAGTGCACAATTCAGAGAAAAGATACGGTAGAAGAAAGGAAAAGAGAAGGAAAGAAAGAGAGAGGAAAGAAGAAAGGGAAAAAGGAGAGAAAAAAAAAATCAAGAAAAAAATAGAGAAAAATTATTTTATAGATAATTTTAATACTATTTTTAGTGCTCAATTCTCGACTCCGTTTCAGTTCGTCGGAGCTCGTAAATCTGGTGTGCTACAGATTTAGAGACGTTTGCCGTTGTATCTTTGGGGAAGTTACACCTGAACCGTTTCTTCTTGTGGAAAGAGTTTTACTCGCCTCGGCTTTAGTCTTTCCGTTTTGTTATTAAGTCTTTTATTTTTTCAGTTCAATTGTAATTTTCTATTTTTAAAATTTTTGTAAGAACTGAAAAATACATATCAGTTCGTAGGATTCCCGTGTAATTTTGGTACCCGATTTCTAACAATCGCAAGAAGAATATCGTCAACCTACTAAATTGATTGCAAACAACGGAGAAGGTTCTCAACATCAGCATCCGATCAACCCAGTTGTTCAGCATCATGTACGTGCTGTCCATGTGCGGAGAAGCCCGAGAAATTTAACGGGCTTGATTTCAAGAGATGGCAACAGAAGATGCACTTTTACCGAACCACCTTGAGTTTGGAAAAGTACCTGAAGGACGACCCTCCGGTCATTAATGAAAATGAAACCAATGTTGAACAACGAGCTGCGTATGAGGCTTGGGGGCAAAGTGATTACCTTTGCTGTAACTATGTCCTGAACGGACTTAGTGATGAGTTGTACAATGTGTACAGCTCAGTTGGTTCTTCCAAAGAGCTTTGGGCTGCTTTGGAGAAGAAGTACAAGACTGAGGATGCCGGGACGAAGAAATTCGTCGTCGGCAAGTTTCTTGACTTCAAGATGGTCGACTTGAAGACCGTCGTGTCCCAAGTGCAAGAATTTCAACTTATCTTGCACGATATCCATGCTGAGGGAATGTCTCTGAGCCAGTCATTCCAAGTTGCAACTGTGATTGAAAAGCTGTCGCCGGGTTGGAAAGACTTCAAGAACTACCTCAAACATAAGAGTAAGGAATTGAATCTTGAAGACTTGATTGTTCGTCTTCGTATTGAGGAGGACAATCGTAATTCATCGGTGAAAATTCCGATGATGGAGGCTCGTGCTAACTTGCTTGAGCAAGGCAACTCGAGCAAGAGGAAGTCCCTTGACAAAAGGAAGTAACCTACTAAGGTTTGGAAGTTTACCGGCACTTGGTATAATTGTGGAAAGCCGAACCATATGGCTAAAGACTGCAAGAGGCCAAAGAAAGGTAAACCTAGTGCCTTTGTTGTTGAACACGGCCCAGTTTCGGGTGAATTGACCGACTTTGATATGTTGGTTGTGGTGTTTGAAGCCAATATGGTGGATAACCTAAGGGAGTGGTAATTCGATACTACTGCCACTCTTCATGTGTGTTCCGACAAGAAAGTGTTCTCTGAATACACTCCTGCTAAGGGTCGAAAACTTCACATGGCAAACTCCTCCACGGCTGATGTGGTTGGAGTGGGCACTGTGGTGCTGAAGCTGACTTTTGGAAAGGAGTTGAAGCTTAAGAATGTTATGCATGTCCCAGACATGCGCAAGAATTTGGTCTCCGGATCTCTTCTTGTTGAGCATGGATTTAGGCTAGTGATTTATGCTAAGAAGTTTGTTCTTAGCAAATTTGGAACATTCCTTGGTTTGAGGTAGTTCTGTTTATACCGTTGAGTGATCTGATTTATGGCATATTAGATTGGGACATATAAATCTAAATGCGATTAAACGATTGATGAATCACATAAGAAATGTGAAATTTGTATTGGAGCAAAAAATGGCTAAGTTGCCTTTTCATTCGGTGGAAAGGAGTACTGAACCATTAGGCTTGATCCATTCTAATGTATGTGTTATGAAAAGTATGCAAACAAGAACCGGTAAAAAGTATTTTGTAACTTTTATCGATGATTGCACAAGGTTTTGCATCTTATATTTGTTAAGAAGCAAAGATGAGGCTGTGGAAGCATTTAAAATCTATAAGACCGAAGTTGAAAATAAACTCGGCAAAAGGATTAAAATAATCTGAAGTGATAGGGGTGGGGAGTATGTAGCTCTTTTTGAACAAAAATGTTCTGAATATGCATAATTCATCAAACGGCGGCTCTTTATTCTCCACAGTCGAACAGTGTTGCTGAACGCAAGAACCGTACTTTAAAAGAAATGATAAATGCCATGTTGATAAATTCGGGACTACCCCAAAACATGTGGGGGGAAGCTGTTTTAACAGCAAATCATATCTTGAATAAGATACCACCTAAAGGGAAAGATGAGACTCCTCACGAAATATGGAAAAATCGTAAGCCGTCTTATAAATACCTGAGAGTGTGGGGGTGTTTGGCTAAGGTTTCAGTTCCTGAACCCAAACAAATGAGAATCGGGCCAAAGACGGTCGATTGTGTATTTATTGGATATGCGTACAATAGTACATGATATAGATTTCTGGTTTATAAATCAGAAGATCCAGAGGTATCTGTTGGTACCACGATTGAGTCAAGGAATGCTATATTCTATGAGAATGTTTTTCCTCTAAAGGAAAGGGCAGAATCTAGTTCTAATAAACGAACGTATGAAATTGCTAGTGGTTCTGTACCAGATGGTACTGATGAAGAACTGAGATGTAGCAAAAGGTTAAAAACGGCGAAAACGTTTGGACATGATTTTATTACGTACATGTTAGACGATGAACCGAGCTCCCTTAAGAAAGCTCTGTTCAGCCCAGATGGACCACTCTGGGAAGAAGCTGTAAATAGCGAAATTGAGTCCATTATGCAAAATCATACTTGGGAGTTGGTTGATCTCCCTGATGGTTGTAAACCTTTAGGATGCAAGTGGATCCTAAAGAGGAAATATAAAGCTGATGGATCGACTGATAAGTTTAAAACACGATTGGTGGTCAAAGACTTTAAACAAAAGGACGGGTATGATTTCTTTGATACCTATTCACCAGTTACGTGTTTAGCGTCGATAAGGGTGCTTCTTTCGATTGCTACTTTGCACAATCTTGAGATTCACTAAATGTATGTCAAGACGACATTCTTGAATGGTAATTGGAAGAAGAAATATACATGGAACAACGTGAAGGGTTTGTTGCACCTGGACAAGAGAGAAAGGTGTGTAGATTGATCAAATCCTTGTACGGACTGAAACAAGCTCCGAAACAATGACATTTGAAATTTGATGACGTGATGTTGTCAAATGAGTTCAAAATCAACGAATGTGACAAATGTGTTTATGTCAAGAGTACATCATATACATTTGTGATTGTATGTCTATATGTAGACGATATGTTGATCATGAAGAGTAGCCATGAAGTGATCATGGATACGAAAAGAATGTTGAAAAGAAATTTCGACATGAAAGATATGGGTTTGGCTGATGTTATTCTTGGAATAAGGATTATCGGAACCCAAGATGGAATTGTCTTGTCACAATCTCATTATGTAGAGAAAGTGCTCAAGAAATTTGATACCTATGACGGTGCACAGTCTAGGTGTAAGACACCCCTTGATCTTAGTATAAATCTGGTAGCCAATAAAGGCCAACCAGTGGCTCAGTTGGAATATTCACAGATAATAGGGAGTCTGATGTACTTGACGAATTGTACACGACCAGATGACCGCGCGTCGCGACACGGCAAATTTAAATTTATAAAAGTTTTCCTCGACTAACCTCTACTAACTAGTAGTAGTGGCGAGTAGGGGTCGATCCCACGAGGAGCAGGAATTAAATCGTGATAATTTCGTATTGATTGAACTAAACTAAGAAAGCAATAAAGGTGGGGGGATTGGTTTTATAAAAATAAAAATAAAAATAATAAAATAAAATAAAAATTAAATAAAATGAGAGAAGTCCAGTTTTTCGGTTCAGTTATCACCTAATCTAAATCTACCGTTAATTAATTTCGACGCTTTCTCTAGAATGCTAATGAATTACCAACCCTAGCTAACAACAAACTCTGTTAACCGAATTTTCCCTTACCGAATATTTAATCGAAATAAGCTCTTCGACTAAACCTAACTAGTGCACAACCTAGAATAAGCTCTCTAGATATAATACACTAGCAGCATTAATTTCTAGGAAAATAGGTCAATCTAAGCAATGGACGCACAAGCTCGGACCATTTAACTTATGTTCACGCTATCCTAGAGATGCACGACCCCTAGTTTACTACTAACGAAACGAGACAATAACAATTACGGATTAAAGTCCCGAATCTAGAAATAAAATCATGAATATTCAACATAGCTGGCCAAACTAAATCAAACACTCATAATTCATAAACATTCGACACAGATAGCATGAATCAACTCATCAACAAAAATAAATACGGCATCTTAATTAACCAACAATAAAAATAAAGATCCTTCAATTCATAGACAAATCAAAGTTAGGGTTCAAACATCCCCTAAAACTGGATAAAAATCTAGCTTAACATACTAATAAAATAAATAATAAAAGAGAAAAGAGAGAAGATAAAATTATCTCCCTCTTGTGTGAGTGCGGCTTCCCTCCGTGTGTGGTGCTCCTTTCTCTTCCAGTCCGTTCGTTTTTTGCTGTCAAGTGCTCTCGGCTTTCTGTCTCGCAAAAATAATCCTCCGAGTAGCCCTCGACTTTTTCTTGTTCCAGTCAAAAAATAATCCTCCGCGTGCTAATGGCTCTAATTCAATTAAAACCCTTAAGACTCAAAGTCCTCAACCCATTAAACTCTCCAGCCATGTCACTCCTTCCAAATAAATTCCTCCTCTTGTTAGCTGCGTGAGTCTTTCTTTAAAATTGAATGCTTGGGCTTCAATTTCATCTCAAATTATTTGGCCCATCAAATAAAATAAATGAAGTCATGCAAATTATCACGTGGTATGCGTAATGGGCCAGCTTGGATTATACTGTTTGTGGCCTTTAATTGGTCCGGTACTGGAAAGTCTCGACGATTGACCACTTATATCTCCGTAGGTTTGCATCCATAAAATATCCTAAAATATTGAAAATAATACATAAAATATCAAAGCAAAAATAAATTCATCGAAATAATAAATAAGTCGAAAAATATAAACGTGCGATTAAATTAAGCGTATAAAAAATACACTATTAAATATATAAAACGCGCACATTTTTCGACCTATCACCAGACTTGGCCTACCCGGTGAATAAGTTGAGCAGATTTACGAGCAATCCTAGTCATGAGCACTGGAATGCTTTGAAAAGGTACTTAAGTACTTGAGGTACACCCTTGAATACGAGCTAAAATACTCGAGATACCCAGCAGTACTTGAAGGGTACTGTGATGCAAGCTGGATATCAGATTCGAGAGATTCTCGCTCAACTAGCGGATATGTTTTCTGTATTGAAGGAGGTGCAGTTTCGTGGAAATCCACAAAACAAACGTGTATAGATCGGTCAACGATGGAATCGAAGTTCATCGCTTTAGATAAAGCTGGTGAAGAAGCCGAGTGGCTTAGAAATTTTTTATCCGATATTCCATGTTGGGATAAGAATTTGCCGCCTGTGATGATTCACTGTGATAGCCAAACTGCTATAGGTAGGGCACAAAGCAATTTGTATAACAGTAAGTCTAGACATATTCGTCGTAGACATAATACCGTACGCCAATTGATCACAAATGGTATTATTTCCATTGACTATGTGAAGTCTAAGGAAAATTTGGCTCATCCTTTGACGAAAGGATTGAATAGAGATCAATTGGTAGTTTTGCTAGAAGGAATGGACTTAAAAATCCACAATGAAAAGAATGATCATAGTGGTAACCCTACCATGGTGAATGGAGATCCTATGAACTTGGTTCAAAGGGAAAACTAAGCTATGAAAATTCAGTTGAACTTGGAACATATGAATGTCCAAAGCTATTCCCTAGAGCACTCCAAGTGCAAGATTACCTGTTGATTGTGGTGAGGGTAAGCCATGTGGACTTTTAATGAATCCCTAACCTTGTAAAGGTAGAGTATAACAGGATACTCTTGATAGAAAGGTCAACTATATAAGTGTGAAGTGTGGGCCACTTCAAATGTAAACACTTATGAATCCATTGTGTTGTCCATGGCCAAAACGGACACAACGATAGAACGGAATGAAGTTAAGACTCTAGTGTGTGAATGTCATTGTGTCGGTGTACTCTATGGAAGAATAGTTCAAGGCATCATGTCCACTAGTCCGCCAGTACATCCGATGATATTTACTAAGAGAGGTTCAAAGCCACAAGCTATCTTTCCTGATACAATAGAGTTTTGTGAGGATTGAGCACAATAGTATAATTTACACTTATGTGGGGGATTGTTGTAATGAGTGTTAAATTAATATTTTAATTAATATTCATCCTAATATTCCTATTCTTCTTCCTAATAGGCTAACCACTATATGCCATCAACTACAAATTTTTAATGGTTAGTCAACCATTTTCCAACCACATCCTAATCAATTTCTAACCACTTGATACCATCTTGATCTCATTTGTGTATATATATCACATTTGCTGTAAAGAGAAAGTGCACAATTCAGAGAAAAGATACGGTAGAAGAAAGGAAAAGAGAACGAAAGAAAGAGAGAGGAAAGAAGAAAGGGGAAAAGGAGAGGAAAAAATATCAAGAAAAAATAGAGAAAAATTACCTTCTAGATAATTTTATTACTATATTTAGTGCTTAATTCTCGACTCCGTTTCAGTTCGCCGGAGCTCGTAAATCTGGTATGCTAAAGATTTAGAGACGTTTGCCGTTGTATCTTTGGGGAAGTTACGCCTGAACCGTTAGCTGCCACACGGGGCGTATTCTTCTTGCGGAAAGAGTTTTACTCGCCTCGGCTAAAATCTTTCTGTTTTTTCAATTGTAATTTATTTTTTCAGTTCAATTGTAATTTTCTATTTTTAAAATTTTTGTAAGAACTGAAAAATACATATCAGTTCGTAGGATTTCCGTGTAATTTTGATACCCGATTTCTAACAAAAACTTAGTTCTACGTAATGTGGATTTTGACCGCATGAATACATAGTTCCTTGTAATTAAATGAAAGCATACAACTATATATATTGTAAGAAAAATTGGTATTGTATCGATTTAACCGTTCATTTTTTTGTAAGTGGAATATTTAAAAAATTCTCAAAATCATTTTGAGGTGAATAAAAAATAAATTTTAAGTTGTATATGTGAGAAATGTAAGATTAAAGCATTTGACTCAAATTATTAGATTTGCAAAAGTTTCGATCTTTAATGAATGTTAGGATAATCGAAACGTGACCTGATCATGCAACTTGCGTGCTATAACTCTAGAAGAGTTCGTTGGGGACGATCGAGTAGGAAAAAACGAAACTCGATTTCGAGTCAACGGAAAGTCTTTTGGTCAACAGAAAGTCTCGACCCTTGGCGACCATAAGGTGTCTTTTGGTCTCTAGATGCGTCCGTTCTTGTTCGTGTACATCTCAAAATATGTGTCTTTTGATATTTAAACCTCTGGGAGATGTTTTTCTATATCTATTAATATCCACATACATAAAATCATTCATAACTTGATAAATGAAGAGCTCTTGCATTACAGTTTCAAAGTTAATAAAGCATATTGTGTTCTTTGATTTTTTCATTGAGTCTTGAGAGTTTCAACAATAATATTGTTCGCTGAAAGCTTGTATATTTGAAATATTGTTATATACAAGTAGAAAGTCGTTGTATCTTGTAGGCGTTAGCCATTAACCGTGGGTACTTTACGAGACAATTTCGTCTTAAGGAGAACGTAACTACTACGTATCTCGACTTTGATTTTGCTTTAGTTTTCTTCATTCTCCTTAAGTCATCTTCTTGATATTTGTTAGAATATCAATTGTGAGTTGTCCTACATCATTCATACATGGAAAATAGACCCAATTTATAAGACTAATGGGTTACTCTTCCTTTCACCAATTGCTTTTGGGACGGAACCCCACTTGGGCTTCATATGGGCTTTTTACCGTTCATGGTGGTAGTGGACCCGCACCCGTTTCCCTCAGTTTCTATCATGGTATCAGAGTCGGTTCCATTGGTGACCGTGCAATGACGTGCCCGTCACCCAGCCAGATGGACTTGGGCTTTCGAAGGACTCACAAGTGAGTGGCGTGTTAGAATATCACTTATGAGTTGTCCCACATCGTCATACATGGAAATAGACCCACTTTATAAGACTAATGGGCTACTTCTCCTTCCACCAATTGGTTTTGGGATGGAACCCCACTTGGGCTTCATATGGGCTTTTCCCCGTTCATGGTGCGCTTCATGGTAGTGGGCTCGCACCTGTTTTCCCCCAGTTTCTGCCAATATTCACTAAACACACAAATAATATATATATATATATATGTGTGTGTGTGTGTGTGTGTGTGTGTGTGTGTGTGTGTGTGTATAGCTAGAATTTTTTTTACCCAGGCTAAAAATCTACCTATTTTATTCGATTCGAATTGTCCGTTAAATATTTTGGTTTGACTAGTGAAACCTCAAGCTCAACTAGCTTGTATATTTAAATAATCCAAGCTCGAAAACCAATCAACCTTGTTTATCAAACAAATGAAGTTGAATGTGTTTGTGAACAACTCGGTTTGTGAACAAAAAATTCTAGCTTGTAGCTAGAATTTTTTTTACCCAGGCTAAAAATCTACCGATTTTATTCGATTCGAATTGTCCGTTAAATATTTTGGTTTGACTAGTGAATCCTCAAGCTCAACTAGCTTGTATATTTAAATAATCCAAGCTCGAAAACCAATCAACCTTGTTTATTAAACAAATGAAGTTGAATGTGTTTGTGAACAACTCGGTTGTAAGGTTTATTAAATGAGTCCATCCAAGTTTATACGAGTTGAACATGAACTCATATTTTTGTTTGTTTATTAAATGAGTTGAGCCACGCCAACTCGTTTATTAAATGAGCACGAGTTCGAATATGAAGTACTCAACTCGAATAATATAGTAGAAATATATAAACAAGTCAAAGTATGATTTTAAAACAATAATATAAATTACATGAATCAAAATGTCATTAAAATTTAAATATGAATGTTGCATTTGTAAACTATAATTATCAATTATTATACTTTCTAGTCATGTTTTATATGAAAATGACCTCCATTTAGCAAAATATTGTGAATTGTTAATTATTCTTATATTTTTTTTTTCGAAACGATAGAGATATTATATATAAAAGAGCACAAATGTGCGAAAGTACAACCACTAGCTGAATACATACAGCCAACGGCTGAATACAACCAGCCAACAGCTGAAAAACTGGGAGGACAGTCTAAAGACTGCCTAGAACCGACCCCAACAGGGAAACCTAAAAACTCAAACACCACAACAACACTGAAACACTAAATAAAACTATAAACGGCCCCAACAGGGTAATGCCTGAGTGTACGGTCCCAACAGGATAATAAAGTCACACTCGGGCTAACTGAGGCCAACGGCCCAAACCTAAAACACAGACAACACGAACAAGAACAGACAAACGAAACATACGAATAACAAAAACTACAAAAAACACACGACAAAGCCAAACAAAAACTAAAAGCGAGGCCCTCCCTCGGCAGCACGTCCAAATTGACCAGCAGACATAGGCCAACTCCACGGAGAGAACCGAAGCACAGGAACCACGCCCGCCACTGCCTAATGCCTAGCAAAGACGAGGGCCTGAACCTCGAACCAATCCGAAAGAATCGACCCGCTCTACGACTGTATGAAGCCACAATCGCCCTCCAACCGGCTAACACCACTAGCCCAGTCCGACACCATCCCGAAGTCGACTAACACCACTAGCCAAAATCGAGAACGGCTGGCCTCCCTCGGTCTCCAAATCCGAGAACAAGGAAGGAAGAGGATCGAATGGATACAAAGCCCCAACGAACCTACATAGCCCAGACGAGCGAGACGCTCTCCACCCAGCCCCATAGACGACACCCAGACCCCCTTTCCCCAGCTACACCGAGATGCCGGCGACCAGAACACACTCACCGACCCCAACTGGAGGAAAAGATTGAGTACAGACTCAGGACCCGGTCGGAAAAACCGCCTCAGTCCGGAGAGAACATAGGCCGTCCGAGCCACCACCATCTCCAGACCCAGAACTCCTCCTTCCAAACTACTTTGGGACGCCGACGGACCTAGTCTAAATTCAACCCCTTTCGCGGCCCGATTCGAAGAGGCCGTCTGAACCCCTAAGCAATCGACGGAAGAAATAGAGCCCCTCGACTGGAACATGGTAGAGCAGCGAAGAGCCGTCCGCCGCCAATCCGGGCGGCGGCAGAAGGAGGCTATGAGCGGCGGAGATTGACGGGAAGTAGGGTTCGACGAATTGGGGATTTTTTGAGCGACGGGAGAGAAATATTTGTCACTTAATTATTCTTATATACATATGACAAATGTTTATTTTTAACTAATTTATTTGCCTGCGTTGCTCATGTTCAGATTTTCTTATCTCCAGTCATTGTCGACGGGCTCGGCTTCGGGGGTCGGTGGAATTGCAGGTTTTCACTCTGACTCTCGCTCTCTGTTCGCCGGCGGTATGGTGAGGCGGCGGGTGGGTTGTGGTCCGTCTCTGGGGGCTGGGTGGGGGGTCGGGTTCGAGCTTTAGTCGGAGCAGCTATTCCTTCCAGGCTGGAAGGACTTCCCGATTGCGGGTCTTCGGTTTTGGCCGGAGCCTGGTCTCTGGTATCTCGATTTCGCTGGGGTGTTGGGTTGGGTTTCATTCTTGCGGGCTGGGTGGATGGGTGGTTGTTTCGGGCTGGGTTTGGTCCTTCGGGCGGAGTCGGTGCGGCTGAGCTCTGATATCTTTCGTCCCCTTCCTCCTCTTTCTCAGTCTTGAGTTTATGGGAGGTCGTTTGTCTCCAGATTTGGCTAGTGGTGTTAGGCAAATTTGGGATGGCTCTGGATTGGCTAGTGGCGTTAGCTGGTTGGGGGGCGATTTTGATTTCTTGCGTTCGGTGTGCGGGTCGGTTTTTGGTTTGTCCTGAGGTTTGGATCTTCGCCTTGCTAGGCCTTCTGCAGTGGCGGGCATCGTTTCGGAGCTTCGGAGCTCTCCATGGATCTGGCTATGTCTGCTGTCTTTTCCGGATGTTCCTGCTGAGGGAGGCTGCGTGTTCTTATGTTTTTTTAGTTTGTGTTAGTTGTTTTGTGCTGTTTGTTCTTTTGCTGATGTTTAGTGTTTTTGGTTTGGGCCGTTGGCCTCTGTGAGCCCGAGTGTCAACTTGATTGCCCTGTGGGGGCCAGACACTCGGGTATTACCCTGTTGGGGTCTTTGTGTTATTTTTTAGTGTTTTAGTGTTTCGTAGTGTTCTTGAGTTTTACCCCGTTGGGGCCGGTTCTAGGCGGTCTTTTGACCTGTCCTCCCACTTTTTCAGATATTGGCTGCGTGTTTTCAGCTGTTGGCTGTCTGTATTCAGCTAGTGGCTGCTCCTTGTAATTTGTTCGTTTTTATAATATCTCTATCGTTCTGGCAAAAAAAAAAAAAAGTAATTTATTTATTCTTTTATAAAAAGTTCGAAGATATTTTTTCTCATCTACTTGGATTTAATTAGAAAAACAACAACATAATTTATTAAAAAGTTTTCTATGATACGGTGTAATAGTCTCGCCATTTTTATTATATGACAAGTCAATATTTAAGGTTCATATATCATTTTATTGAATATGTCACTCATATAACTAAAATTTTGTAGTAAATTTCATATACTCAAATATTATTTATTTGAAATTTCAATGAATATAAAAGAGAATATATAAGCGCGATTGTGAAATCAAAAAAACCAGTTACATATTAAGCATTGTAATGGAAGTGTATCACGATCAAACATCGACTCAAATAAAACTATTCAAATTAACTCTATTTAACCAAATAATAAAAGATAAATACAAAAAGAATATAAAGATTGACATAATAAGTTAAAAGAACAGTTGAAAGAAACACAAATCATGTTCAAGTATATAATTCATTGATTTAATCTAAACAAATAATTCTTTTGAGCCAAAATAAAAAGAATACAGGACTAATGTGATATAACATAAGCTAAAATATCTTTTATTAGCATAAAATTAGGCAAGTCAAAAGGTTGAGACCCACCCAAGTCTATAGGGTGGCTTCGCCCCTATATATATGGCAAATTGGTTTCTTGATCAAGAACCATGTCTAAAACCTATGTAGTGTTGGGAGGGACTCTTGATGTAAATACTTGGATGTTCACGTTAGTTTGCATATACATTAAGAATTGTGATAATGGATTTTGTAAATGTTATTTTTACAAAAGTATGCTTCCTCTCGTCTAAATTTCTGGATACGCCTGAGATAGCACCAAATCTGAACAAGATCTCTAAATGATACAAGATATATTTTCCTTGGGCAGACATGTATCATTTCCTTATAGAAAATCTTCCATGTTTTGGATTTTCATGCAAGGTCGATCATCACGACTCTTCACCTTATACAAAATATACACCATGTCAACTCGAGCATAATCAGGCCATTCGGACTCTTCATATATACAATTATGTTTTTTGAGCTTTTGCAAATTTGTGTGCCTTTTAAACTTCAACACATCCTCAAACCCTTAGATCTTTTGTGGAACTGCAATTTTGAAACAATATTTTAGTTATTGTTCCCCCATTTCTTTAGTGCATGAGACTGTCTTGATCTGCTACGGTGGAAACTGTAGGCTCGCTAGACTTTATGCTAGCTCTCTTTCTCGGAGCGGAGGTTGGCCCTAGATATTTAGGTTCGAACCAATCGTTGAAAAGATCCCGGTCGCTTGCTTTCTGTTCATATAAGGCATACATCGAGCCTTTCACTGGCTTCGAAGCCCTGCGGGAAAAAAGGGGCTTACTCTCGTCTCGATAGGAGAACGACCGATAGATTGCCTCTGCCGAGGTTCCCGGCACCAGAACAGGACCTAGTGAGATGTTCCTCAATGGAGATGAGGATGGAGTGCTGGTTGCTTCGTTATGGCGAGCCTTTTCTTTTGATGCTTCCCGCAGTGAACAGGCCATTTATCTTGGGCGACTCTTTGCCCACCAGGGTCCGAAGGAGATAGACCAAAGAAAGCATAGGATTCGAACCTCAGGACTACGTTAAACCTAACTCCGCGTCGGATGGTACACTACTCGGGAAGATATGGGAGACTGCTGCCCAAGAGGCTGGAGCAACGTTTGAACGCGCTCGACCTTGTTCACCCTTGATTTGAGCTCTATCGTCCCACCAGTCCACTTGTCTTACATTTCTAGTTGTTGTTTCAACTATTCATTTGTTCTTTTCAAATTATTGAGATGTTTAGTATTTGCTTCTTGCATGATGTTGATGATCGATGACATTCCATCGTTCATCTTTCTCTTTAGTTTGACTTTATTCACCACAATAGATTTTTCCGGTGGAGAATGATCAACAAATTTATTCGAGCCGTCTAAGTTTAGAGAAAATAAATGTCTGCGGATGCTTGATAGGCAGACTCAAGAGTCAAGTTTCCTGAGTTGAAAGACAGATAATGTCCATATTGTTTTTCTTTTTACTCGACATAGTACTATCTTAGAGTTTTTCAAAATTCTTAATAATGTTTTAAACATAATTGTATTTTCACTCGGATTTAAATTTAAGATCTTGCACGAACAATTCTGTTGCTCTATACATTCAAGTTATTACAACTAATAATCATAATTTATATAAACAATAAATATGAAAAAAAAATAGAACATAATGGTAATGTTCAAATATCTTCATTCAAATCACCACTTTGATGCATGTCTTCTATTGTTTTTATGTTGCATTGAGTCTGGAGACTCTTGGCTGATTTACTGATTATTTAAATTCGTGCTTACATAGATCTCTTGGTATGACCTCCGAGTGCACAGGCCTGATGAACTTCCAAGTATATTATGGTTTTATTGTACAACTGATAGGTCGGCTACTAGCCATTTTCGTTATGACCGAAGTGCACCAATTAAAATTGAGATGAATGTACAACTGTTGGAGGTCAAGATAGTGAAAATACTCAATTTCAATAATTCGTACCTCGATATATAAAAATAAAAATAAAGATGATCACATTATTTTCCGAAAGGTATTAGGTGATCATTTATAGAAGGGATACACAAATTATATATTTTTTTACGTATGAATATTTTTTTTATATGCATCTAGTGTATTTTTTTAGCTTGCATACTATAATTTTTTTTAGGATTTTTTATTGAATACGTATTCCTCCCATTTTTATTTCCACGACTTTTCATTTTATAATAGATTATATTATAGGTGTTTTGAATTTAAAATAATTACCTAGAATAATGAATAAAATTGTAAAATATGCATATAATATTTAAAAAATATAAAACCTTACTGTAACGGGACTGTAGGTTTTGAATTTAAAATAATTATCTAGAATAATTAATAAAATTGTAAAATATGCATATAATTTTAATATAAAACCTTACTGTAACGGAACGGTAGACTTCTCTAAAATATAATGTGAAAGGTAATATTTTAAGAATATTTTATTAGATTTGAAAATGAATGATTTGAGAAAACTTAGTTGCCAAAAAGTTTGAAAATGTATTTTGGATTGGAGATGCCCAATAATAAACTAGCGACAACGCGCGTCTTTAAAGTTTAAACCAAAGAACAACGCGTATTACTATTTAAGGTTTACCAAATCTATATATATATAATTGCTAGCTAACCTCATTTAATAAAACATTTAATAAAAACATTTTCATTTTCCCTCCAAAAGAAGTTACATTTATTAATTAATTATTCATTAATCTCACATTTAAGAAGGTTTCTTTTAGTTAAGCTTAATTAGTTAATGACTAAATTAAAAAAATTTCTTTTAGTTAATCCCACATTTATGTTTCTTATTCTCATTTATATATATAAACGTGGCAATCATTATTGTTGTGTAGAAACTATATATTATTATTTTTTATTTCATTATGGATTGAATAAGCAATTAAAGTTATAAGAAATATTAATAAATGTATTAATTACAAACATTATAATACATATCATGTTACATTACAATATAAAAAATGAAATTATTTTTTTTGTAATTTAATTTCCAGCCATACTCAATCAAATATATAACTACAAAATGATAAGAAAGATTAGTTTCATAATTAAAATTAAAAATTTAGCTCCCCAAATGGTAAAACCTTATAAATTAGTAGTATAGATACATTTAAATGACATATAATTTATAAACTTAGACTATACGCATAATAAGATGAATTATGAATTAAATAAATAAATTATTATTATAACACAGTCTATACAATTATTATAGCAAAGTCTATATTGTCAATATTTTCATTTAAAAAGTTCATTGAAAAAATATATGTATAAAAAAAATCCATATGATCATAATTAATAGTGCAAAATTAACATTCTTTGACTTTCTATTTGGTAGTAATAATAAAATATTTTATATTAGTACTATTCAATAAAATGCATGATTTCTGCATATTTGATTATCGCAATCAACATTCTTTTTTTATAAATTAAAAAGTGTCTTGAATCAATTGTCTCATATTTTTCATTAAAACAAAACGACTGTTGGCCGTGAAAAAAAAAAAACATTATTTCACAATTATAAATATAAAAATGATTAATTTTCATTAAACAATTCCTCTTTAAGAAAAAAGTGGCGGGACAAATTTCTGTATGATTATAGCATCAAAACATATCTAAAACATCAATATTTTAATGCATTAAAAACATACTTTCAGCAACGGAAAAGTCATATTAAACGGAAATTGGCAAAGTCAAAGAATGAGAATTGACAAGGCATTGTATGTAATGGCAGATTGTTGCATAATATAGAAATATCAACCATAATTAATAATCAACAAAAAAAAGTCAAATCTATATGAAAAAATCAAAATTAAAAACACAGCAAATTATGTGGAACATTATTGAACACTATACAATATAGAAAGAAAAATAATTTGATTTCTTTATCATTATCAACATATTCAACTTTTACCAAGACATCTGCCTTCATATTAAAATCAATTTTTTTGCGTAAAAGTTTTAAAAATAAAAATTCCTACAGATTCTTTTAAACATTAAACAAGAAGTTCCTAATATGCGATAAATATATCTAAACAGATTTGTTATAAACTTACCTAATATTTCCAAATTTTAAACAAAATACTAAAAGATTTGAAAAATTTCGGCAAAAGACTTTGAATAACTTCGAAAAGCGATTTTGAACAAGTGTTAGCAAAGCTTCACTTACGATATGATGAGAAAGACGGCAAAGAATTGAACTATTTAGTTTTCAAAATCTGAACAAAATAGATAAAAGTTACATATGTATGTTATAAAAAGATATGAACAGATATGTTATAAACTTACATATATATTTTTTGATAGAGCTGAACATATCTGTTAGAAACTTACATATTTTTTCAAACCCTGAACAAAATACATAAAAGTTTGAAAAAGTTCGACCAATGTCATGTTCTCTTCGAAAAACGATTTTGAAAAACATCTAAATAATTTCGAATTATGTATAAAATATAATATATCTTGAAGCTTATTCACAAAGAATTTCGGAAAACGACACAGATCATTGAAAATAATAAAAAATAAAAACTACGTTTAACAAAACATATTTCAGCTCATCATAGATTTGTAATATTATCGCCCGATTTTGACCGACCTGTTAAGATTTAGCAACACAGATTAAGAAATCGGGACGAATATTTTATTTTTCGATCACTACTGTTGGTCACAAAAACAACATTTCTCAGATGTTTTTTTTTTGTTTTTTTTCAAATTTTTTAAGCCTTTACCGGGAGAAAATCTCCGGTAAAACAGTTGTTTTGTATTGAATCTCGCCGAGTTTGTCGTAATATCGGGCTAAGGATTAGGGTTTCAGACAAAGTGAATAACGAGAGAAGCGCCGACATCAAACAAAAAAAAACGGCTTACATCACTCTCAAGGAGTTTATCTCTATTTATAGTCATGTTATCACTGACCTGTTTTATATGTGATTTTGGCTACCCTAAAAAATTAAGTGGACTTCTAATTTGGGCTTTTTTTATCATTCAATCAATATATTTCTTTATGGCCCAAAAATTGTCATTTTGTTCAAATGTCTTAAATATTTGGTACATATCATTATTTATCAACCAAATACAATTATTTATTTTGTAATATTTTACTGGTATTTTTTTAGTATTTTTTTTTTAAATTTCCTATATGATCTATAGTACAAAATACAATAATTATTTAAACAATTAAAACCATTATATGTCTTAATTTGAATATATGATTTGTAGTGATGAAAATTCTGTTGATATAAAAACCACAAACGTTGTATATAAAAAATTGTTTAGCAATATTTAGTTATTATTTCTTAGAACATTTTTCCAATGATTATATTATGATTTTTACTATTGTTTATATATTTTTATTATTTTTTGTTCTATTATATTGTTTTCCGTGCAAATGCACGGGTTAAAAATTAGTCTAACTAAAACAACATATGATTAAACAAAAATACATATGATTAAACAAAAAATATACCGTAATCTTCTCTTATTCCTTTTGCCAATATAAATTATCTTCCCCATCAGCACTAGAAAAATCGAACCTTTGCACTTTTTCTCAGACAGCGCCTGGCATTAGTCAATACTCGCTTCCAGTCGAGTCAACGCCATTGGAGCTCCAGCTCAATCTCCATACCAATTTTAAGGTTAAAGATCCATTCTTCTCATCTCTTGTTGAGGATTCTCTAGCTCCCTTCCTACCCTTCATTTCTTTTTTCGGTAATAAGGCCGAAGGCAAGATTTTGATCGTGAAAAAAATCTTCTTGCAGTGATTTCATCGCAGTTTCTTGAAGTCGTCGATCGGAGAAATTTAGGGTTAACAACAATGGTGAAGGAAACAGAATATTACGATGTGCTGGGTGTGAGCCCTACCGCAACCGAGGCCGAGATTAAGAAGGCTTATTATGTAAAGGTACGATCTTGTTGTCTGATACATGGCCACGCCGTTGTTATAACAATTTGGGGGTTAGGGAAAATGTACATTGTCGATCGATTCTCAATCTTATAGGGTGGGCATTTCCTTTTTTCTTTTTTCTTTTTTTTTTCCCTAAAAAAAAAGAATATATATTTTTACCCATTTTTAATATGTTAATCTGTGGGGCAGTAGAAGTAAAGTGTGTGTAACTTATAATCGTTGATATCTTTACAAGATATGCATACTAGGAAGCAGAATGCTGCTGTAGTGTACATTTTGTTAATTGTTCTATCATGGAAACAAAAGAAATATGCTCTGCCCAACAAAAAATCGTTGGACTTGCCAATGGAGTAGATTTACATTTTGTGCTGCACTGTATTACTATTGATTTACTTATTTATTGAATGCTTTCATCTCTAACTGTCACTAAAAAAATTCTCTTGCATGTTGGGAAGTTCACTTTTTCAACCTTAAACTTGGAAATTCTTATTGTTGTTCCTACATTTTGTTTGATTTGGGGGATTGTTTAATCTGGTATGAATGATGATATTGTAGGCTAGGCAAGTTCATCCGGACAAAAACCTAAACGATCCTATGGCTGCTGAAAAATTTCAGGTGAGCTCACTAGATTCACTGTTTTAACCATGTCTTTTTTGTGTCATGTTGAACTCATTAGTCAAAGTTCAATACATATAATATTTCCCCTTAATTTGGTAAGGAACTGGATTCCTAATCTTCTTAGGATAATAAGAGGAACATTTAGGATCTAAGCAAAAGTAAAGATAAATCTTCTTAGTTTTAACTATATAGAAGTCCTCTAAGATAAGAAACTTATGCTATGTAATTGCAAAAGAAAGAACTAATATGTGACTTGCCTCATATGTTTGAGGTATATAACATGCCATCTTAAAGCTAATCCATTCAAACTTCCCACTGCATATTCATTACTTGTGAATCCTACTGTCTCTTGTAATTGGATAAAAATACTGTTGAAACATTATAGATGAAATTATCTTGATTTACATTTGGTAAACAATACTAATTATTATAAGCAAAATAGAGAATGCAATTTCATAAATATAAATATTTTCAGGAGAGTTATGTAGCTAACTCATTCCTTTGGAATGGTTTCCATTTTCACAACTAATTTGTACCAACTCCTTGGCAGTAAGCTTTCTCATTTGTTGAAAGTGATTGGTAAAAAGTAATGATGTGTCTTTATACATAGTAGCGTATTTGAGTAGGGTGCACTCTCTTCTTCTTCTTTTTTTTAATTGGATATTAGCATTGCATTTCATGCAAATTGCTAAAGGCTTTTTAGGGAACTTTCAAGGTTAGAGTTCTTTCTAGTTTTGCCAGAAGAGTGTTGTCATATCTCACATGTTACAAGACTATTGAATTAGTATTTTCCTTTTCTTGTTTCTCTTACTCTTCCTCTTTTTTGAAACATATCCATCACTGATTCATAGTGATAGTTGCTAATTGCTTTTCGAATCTGTCAGATTTTGGGTGAGGCATATCAAGTGCTGAGTGATCCATCCCAAAGACAAGCTTATGATGCTTATGGGAAATCAGGAATTTCAACGTCAGTGTACTTTTTATCTATTAGATTTAAGATTTTCATAACTGCGGTTATATGTTTTAAAATAATTCACAACTTGGAATGCAATTTTTTCATCATTGTTTCTTTCCAGAGATTCGATTATCGATCCCGCAGCAATTTTTGCAATGCTATTTGGAAGTGAGCTTTTTGAGGAATACATTGGCCAGCTTGCCATGGCATCCATGGCCTCCTTGGATATATCCACAGAAGAAGCGGTTGATGTCAAAAAATTGCAGGAGAAAATGAGGGTAGGAATTCTGATTTCTAGTGTATAGCTATAAGACTAACATATACCTTGTTAGCTCATTTATCTTAGTTGACTGAAGAAAAATGTCCGCATCGAAGGATCATGTGAAGGTGGTATCAGAATAGTCGATTTTCACATTTGGATTTCTGTTTTACAGTGCTGCCTGGTAAAGAAAATGAGCGTGGAAATGAATGAAACCTCTTGTGAATTTATTCCATTTTCTAACTTAAGATATCTCGACTCTTTGTTGAGATTCAGATATGTGGGTGCAATTGGGTAATAACTTCCTTAGCTCCTTATGGATGGATTGTGGACATGGACTACGGAACTGCTTACACTTGTTATCTGATGTGAGAACTTTGCCAAAATGTTACATGTTGGCTTTCTCTGGAAGTCCGTATGAGTCTAACCTGATTGTTATCTGCTTCGGTCTTCTTTATTTGTTTTTATGATCGGGTAGAGAATTCAGAAGCAAGACAATCAACTGCTCTTCTTATTTGGTTCAGTTTAATTTATATTTCCTTTTGATAGGATTCTCTTTCGTTTGTGACTTTTAGAATGTCCAAAGGGAAAGGGAAGAGAATCTTGCTGGTATACTTAAAGATAGACTCAACCTTTATGTCCAAGGAAATAAAGAAGAGTTCATTCATCAAGCTGAGGCTGAAGTCGCAAAGCTTTCTAAAGCTGGTAATACATCTGTCTTACTCTACCCTTCTCATCTTGTAGCCTTTTTATTCAGACTCTGTACTTGGAGCATAGATGCTGCTATGTGAGCTCTCGGAGTGACTGGTTTACCAAAATAAAAATTAAATAATAAAATGAAAAAGAAGCAGCAGAAATAGCCTTCGGCCTTGTAAAGAGGAGGATATAACTTTATGAATATTCATAATTTGGAACCTCGCCTACATCTTGACTGTACTATCATCTGCAAAAATGGACACTTGCATGGTCAAGATGTAGGCGAAGTTGCAAATTATGAAGGTTTATGAAGTTGAGGTTGCAATTTACCACGAAAAAAGCTATAGGTTGCTAAGTCCAAAAACACGTATAGTACATGTTGGAAAAAATGTTTTACCAATCGCGTAATGCCTATACTCTTGTATCATGGGAGAGAGCAGTCAAATAAAGTGCTGCTATTGGTTAAGGAAAAACTTTATGCTCCATTTCTTTCTAATTACAATGTTATTTATCAAATGGTACACATATATAAGAATTGTATTCATATTGAATGAAGATTTCATACTCTCAAAATCTCGACACTTAAAGTGACAAGATTCACATTTTCACACCTCTAGTGCACACCTTTCGACAAGTGGCACTGACAGGAGGTTTGCCTAGAAACAGCTAACTCTAAAAAGTATGCAATATCTAACTGATTAAGTATTGTGGCAACAGCTGAAGAATATGAGGTTGTGTATGGTTTCGTTTCCATTTGGCTGTTTCATAATTTTTACTTTTAAGAAACTTGGATAATTTTTGGGCAACAATAATTTCCACCCATAAAGAATTGGGAAATTGTTCTCAAAATATAAACTACCTAGAGGCTTATTCATTTTTCATATGAAGCAGGCAACTCTTATATGTTAATATCTAGACAGTTCCATCTATGCATTTCCTTGGATAACTTGATGCGACATTCTTAAATGTAGAGGAATCTTAAGATGTTACTTTGTCTGAACTGTATGCATATTCCACAGTCTGATAGTTGCTAAGATTAAAAAAAAAAATGAAAGATATTCCATTACTATAAATTACTAGCATCCAAAGCATGTTATTAAAGGGAAGCAAAGTGCTTTGCCATTGTGATGTTACTTGGGGGAGGATAAAAATTGAGAATCCTTCCTTCCTCTTTGACAAATTGTTTATCAATTTTATTGCTGCATTTATAGAATCTCTTCTTAATGTGTTCATACTCTATTGCAGCTTATGGTGTGGATATGCTGAGTACCATTGGCTATATATACTCAAGGCAGGCAGCAAAAGAGCTGGGGAAGAAGGTGATGTTGGGCGTGCCATTTGTTGCTGAGTGGTTTAGAAATAAAGGACACTTTATCAAGTCCCAAGTAACTGCTGCTACCGGTTAGTGTTATTTTTTTGCTGTTGAGCAGATATTTTATGCAGAACTATAAGCTCGTTTGTAATTTGATTTCAATTAAATAAAGGAGACTGGATAGTTGAGGACTCGATGTTGCAGGGAGCTAACATCAGCTCCCTATTTTCAGTTATAGTTCAAACATTAATTGTGTATGAGGAGAACATAGACATTGAGAAATAAAATTTCATGTTGAAAATCATTTGTTCAAGAACCTGGTAAATTCGAGTTCTCCTATCTTAACTCATTGAAACTGAGTTATTCATTCTCGTAAAGAGTTTCTGCAAAAAAAGAAAAAAAAAAGGGGTAATTTTGCTAAAGTTGGGATTCAGAGGAGAAGTTGAGTAATTAACTGCTTAGCTTGAACCTATAATTTATTCTTAGTATAATATTAAGGGGTTTTGTTGCTCTAGGGGCAATTGCTTTGATTCAGCTTCAAGAGGACATGAAAAAGCAGCTTAGTGCTGAAGGAAATTACACGGAAGAAGAACTCGAAGCTTACATGCAATCGCACAAGAAAATAATGATAGACTCCCTCTGGAAGCTCAACGTGGCTGATATAGAGAATACTCTCTCCCGCGTTTGTCAGCTGGTTTGCATCTTTAAAAAAACTGGCTTTTTCGTTCACGATATCATTTTTTTCTCAATTATGATGCATTTATAATACTGTGTAGGTTCTGCAAGACAACAATGCAAAGAAAGAGGAGCGTCGCTTGCGAGCAAAGGGTTTGAAAGCCCTTGGTAAAATTTTTCAGGTGAGGCAGTCAGTCAGCCCTATTTCCTCAACCAATTCGGTTTGTATATGGTTTTCATTGGAAAATGAAAAATTTAGATATTTTGTGTGTTTACAGAGAGTTAAATCGGTTAACGATACAGAGAGTGTGGCAAATAAGCCGAGCAACAAATTGGGTGGAAGTGAACCGAGTAACAGTGCTTCTGACACCCACTCAAGATCTTTAAACAATGACGAGTCGAATAACTCATTAGCGGTAATTTTTTTTACAATATTTACATTTAATCTCCTTGATGTAGCAATACTTATTATCATATCACCTGATATCAGAGTCCATACGTGGAGACTCCCCAATATGCCGCTGGAGGTCAGTTCAAGTTCCCAATGCCAACTGCACCACCTGGTGCTAACAAGCAATCGTAAAATCGCGTGAACAATTTGAGAGTATTTAAATTATGGTGGATGACGGTATGTGTTTATTTTTTTTCCTGTAATTTTTCTTCTCAAGTGGTTGAATAGTGGATTTGTTTATTATTGTGATTGTATTGTTTGTATAGATCTAGATTTTTTTTTTATTTTTTTTTCATGTTGTCGAACTTGAGAGCTGTCATGATATGTATTGCATTCGCTTGCGATGAATACCAGTTTGTTAAACGGCTCTATTTATTTTTTGGTAGTATTGATCCCATCCCTACATGGTGATTGGTGTGTACTTTTTTTCTATACAGAGAATAGTGATTTGGGATGATATTTTTTTGCTTGCATTTGGCCAAAACAGATCTGTATAAGTTTTATGTTCGTTAGAATTTAGAGACTTTTGGCATGGGATTGATTATTATGAGATTATTTGGCTGTTATTTTCATGAATCAACAGAGAATGAAAGTACTGATCTTCCACACCATAGATGTGCATTTTTATGTAAAGCACAATGAGTCGACCTATCTAACTATGATTAGCTCACCTCGTGCACGAATTTGTGTTTCAATTTTATCAAAATTTCTTTTGATGTCAATGTTAAACCTTGAGATGAAATAATCACTTATTAAATAGTTAAATTTCCACTCTTTATCCAAAAGATGCGATTGATTATTAATTATTTAAGAGGAACGTCATTTGCTCACTTCTGCTTTCTCTAACAACCATCCGCACATTTGCATATACTTAAAATCTAACAAGGGCGCGAAACTGTGAGTAGATTGGCTGTAGAAAGGTAATCGACTCACTAATTAAATTTAAAAACCATAGACGAGACTGTTAATTAAAAAATAATAAGACCACATATCATTGTTAAACATTCTTCAATCTCCTTTTGATAAATCATGGCAAGCTCATTGTGAGCTTCAATCTATTCAACACCCACAAATCACTAATAAATAATTTTTACTCAGTAAGGAGATAAGTGAGAGTCGAGATTTATAGATATATTGTTCGAGGGAAAACAGTTTTTGTTCGAGGGAAAACAGTTAACTACAAAGCAAATTTATCACCAGATAATAGAAAAGGTGTTTGGCAGAATGCAAACTCTTACATCCCATTAAGAGTAACCACGACTTTGCGTGGAGTAGGAGCATCACGATGTTCACACAGCCATATACCCTAAAAAAAAAAAAAAACGGATAAAGTTTGTCCGTATTTTAACAACTTATTTGTGAGCAAGATTAATCTGCCACAATGAATGCGCAATAAAATGTCAAAAACTTGGTGGGACAAGGAGAACAACCAAACACTACTCAGAAATGGTTTCTGATAGAATGCTGCCAAGGCTATAGATAGATGACTTCACCCTAAATATTCCAAGTGCAGATACTGACTGTATTTGATGGGCTCAACAAATCAGTGGTATCACCGACCCCTATTCAAATTTTCCCATTACTTTGTGGAAGATGGAAATTTATACACGTTTATCTTACTAAATGAATCATGGCCCAATCAAAATGTTCACTTCAAGCACAGTTAAGTCTAGTCGAACATCCAATGAGCACGTTAGGAATGTGCTTTGTGCATCTTCGGCAAGACATTCTGAGGCTAAATTATATTTTATGCAAAAAGGCAAGCACACGCCACTCAGACTAAATCTTTCCTTACCAGAGCTTGTTGGTTGGTCAAGTGACGGCAAAAATGAGTCATTTTTTTTTTTTTATTAGAAAAAAAGAAGTCATAAGAGTGTCTCAACAACTTTTGATTGCATATGGTGGTTGCAACAGACAATGTAAGGCGTGTTATCTAGAAATTACCTGCCAAGTTCCAGTGTTCAATCTTCCATCTGTGATGGGTATCCTGCATAAGTTGCAGCAAATGGTTGTTCATCGATGCTTCCACTTACAAAACCACAGAAAAAAATAAAAAAATAAAAAATTCAAATACAATGTTCAAAATTCTCACGTGAGGGAGCAGCCAAACATAGACGACTTAATGTGTGCAGGCATATCGTCTTTACCTGCAACCGCAAGATATAAAATTTATATCTACATACACATACTATCAGATAAAAGAACGAAATAGATACTGTACTTGTTCCATGCTTAGATGTTCGTGGGTTACATTACAACTCATCAATTATATAGTAATGAGACACTAAGGCTTGGTTAGCATATGTCTCAAACAATTACAACCTATAAATTAATAATGAGCATTTCTACAAAGTGTGCTATATATTGCGGAAATGACCATGATTTTTAAGTGTGTCACATTAGATACGATATATGCCTTTAAAGATAGACATACTAGCACTAGAAATGTCAGATCAATCCCAGTCAAAACAAGTCATATTAGATGATCCCATCAACACAGATAAAGGCAACAAAAACAAATGAATGTTTACATGAAGCTTCCAGCAGATATATGCTAGTGGTAGGCATGCAAAGCAACACAAGTAAATGAACACATAAGTAATAGCATCTTATTTTAATAGATAACTCCAGGTTCATTGTTTAACTGAAGACTTTGATTCCTAATAAGTACATGCCTACTGATGCTTTTCTTTATGGATGTACAACTTAAATGTCCGGCTGAATTTTCCCTCATTTTCTCACTTTCTTTTTTT